ATATAATATAATATAATATAATATAATATAATATAATATAATATAATATAATATAATATAATATAATATAATATAATATAATATAATATTATATAGAAAATCCCTTTGGACCTTAGAAAAAAAATGTACAACTATAACACAATAGTGAAGAGTTAAAAGACAAACAATAAAATACTGTACTGTAAAGTGTTTTAACGATATCAAATTGTGCACCTGGGTAATATAATATATTATGATATAACATAATATGTGTTGCACGCTATATACTGTATACATAATGTACTAGTTATACTATTCCATACAGTAAAACAAAGGTTGTACAAGTTATACAAACAAATTGACTAATTGTCACAAAATGTTGCTTTAATACTGGTTTGAACAAACCAAACTTAGCAACCAAATAGCTGTTAGTTCTACTCAAAGGCTATGGAATGCACACAAACCTCTAATAAGCTGCAAATCTATCACTGCAGAAAAAGCTATTGAAAAGGAATTATCAGGCCTAAACCCATGCATGTTTATAAACAAATAAAACAAGAACAATATTTCATAACAAATAATTTTTATATGTAGGATTTATTTGGGTAAAACAGAATGAAATAATGAATGTCCATCATAATGCTGGTAGGGATCTTTACATAAACTAGCAGAGTCAAATGTTCTTAATATAACTAGTGCATAAAAAATAAAACATTTTATACTTTATTCTAAATAATAAACCTCAAATATCGTCAATACAAAAAAAAAAAAAAACAGTTCTAGTCTTTTAAGTTACATATTTACCCATTGATTTATTTGACAAACTAAAATAATGCATCATTACAATTCTTAAATCTTAATCTTTTATTAATAGTATTTCTTTCTTCTACACAGTTTCATATGCCTACGTCATTCAGACATCACAGACTCCTTTTCAAGCTGCCGAATGGTATTGCATGTTGTCCCCTCACATGATTTTGTCTCAGACGTGCAATCTGTGTAACAGCTCCTCTACAGTGTCCGGAATAGTCAGGTTGTAACTGTAGCTAGTTTTATAAATAGACAATGACCAAACTTCAGCATGCAATGCAGCTTCTCAAGATGTTCTTTAATGCAGATGGAGGAAATTTTAAGAGCAGAAGCTCAGTCCACTGCGCAGCAAGATCAAAATGCGTTAAACAACTACACACTCCATTTAAATAAATAGTAAGTTAGGTATTCCTCTCAAATAGAATAAACAAGGTGGAAGTTTATTTTTTAGAAAAATCTAACTGTTACTGTTAATGAACCACTTGGATGTGTTTATGCTCACTTAATATTCTTGAAAACAGAAAACCAAATAATTTCCATGAGAAGCTTTTTGGTTTTATTGGCCATGTCTTGTAGGATACTAGTTATATATAGGCAGTTCTCTCTCCTTATAAGGCCTCGGGGAGAGGCTGGTGGGGGTCAGCTGGAGTCGGGTGGTGGTTGTCTTGGCCTTGTACAGATCTTGGTTTAGGCTGACTCCCTGTGGATTCAGGTTGATAACCGAAGTCGCTGAAAAGAAAATCTCAAGCGGTAAGAAAACATTTTTAAACTCTGTTCAGCTCCTCCATCTCAAGTATTGTTAGTTTTATTACCCATCTTAATTTCAAACCCATTAGTAGCAGGTGGGATGAGTGAGATGGGACTCAACAGAGCCCAGTTGAGAGATATTTCATGATACTTTATGGATGCTAATGATACTTTAGAGTGATGAATGAAAGAATATAGCTTTTTCAAGTAGACTGAATGTGCTATTGAGGACTCCTTTGTCATTTGTTTGCCTGTTGGTCTATTTTGGTGAACTAAAGTGGGCAGATCATACTGTAGATGTATTTTTTATTGTAACCCAAATTGGCCAAGGTAAACACAACTTAGGGAGCTTTTATATAGAGCTGTTTGTGTAACAGATTCGTTGTTTGTACATACTTCAAACATGTAAACGTTGTCCCTAATTCCTTAGTTTTATAGCAACACTTTGCCTTTAAATTGCATTATGTTGCTTTGTATGGTTATGGCTGAGAATACTGGATGGAGGTTTACAGTTACAGTTTTTTTGGCTGTTACAGTATAGGCTAGGCTGGCAGAGGTGCAGAAGTTATGGAACAAGATTATGTCCTGTAAGGAAAGAGTAGTTTCCCCAGTTTGAATTGAATTACATGCTTCATTTAGATTCAAGCTAAAATAGTTTTCTTCTAAATCTGCTTTGTAATCTAAAAAAGGCTTTGTTTTCACACTAGGAACTAATCCGATTTTATTGGTTCTGCTCTAATTTACTTCTGTAAGGTATTTTATTTATTTACTGAGGTTGTATTTGTTTTATTTCTTAAATTAATAAAACATTTTAACAGCTTTGTTCTTCCACTTTTTGTCAGGAATTCGTGAGAATAAAAATGTAATATGTACATTTTAACAAACAATTCTGCTTTGCAGTTGCTAATCTGTTTTTAAAAAAAATACATGATCTTGAAATGATATAACCTTGTATGCTTGACTGGCAGAATTTGAAGAGAAAAGTTATGTAAGGAAGTAAGTTGAAGTAAGGAAGTAAGTTGAACTTCAGTTTAGTGAGAGGAGAGAGGACAGTGAAACTGCAAAAGGATGGAAACAGGGAACTAGTGCGGCACACTTCCCTTGTCATCAAATTGTGGTTAAGGAACAGGGAAATTGACAAAAATTATAAAGTGAACTTCCCCCTAAAGTATATCGGCTGCAAATGGATGTGAGAAAAAACTGAGGGTTCTGCTATGATGGACATCCTAGAATTATTTTTTCTAAGTGTCATTTCTACCTGTTAAACAAGAAGCTAATAGTATTTTTGCTGTTTAGATGTCTTGGATTGTAAAAACTCCATATACTCAAATTCTTCAAAGGCTTTTTCAATAAAAAAAAATGAAAAACAGCTAATCTGATATGAAAATAAATAATAACATTAACTGTAATGTCGTTCTGTGAACAGAAAGTTAAAAGCCAAGGCTTTGCCATTCAGGTATGGCTTAGGTGTTTCAGTTAGAAATTCAGAGTAAATAAAGTATTATTTCACAATATTTACTATTATTTTGCAATTAGCACTTTTTAAGTTTTAGTTATGCAACAAGCAGTGTTAGGAAAAGTAGGGTTAAAAAGATTCGCGAGAGAAAAACAATCATAGATAGTTATAACACAGATACAATTATTTATTCACTGATGTAACCAAACAATAAAGTTGTTGTTAAGCGCGGAAGTCAGCAGTTAAATAAAAAAAATGTTAATGGAAAAGAATAAAATAAAATGTCCTCACTTGGTTTCCTTCCTAATACTTATACAGATTGGTGGATTAACTATACATCCAAAAATGTACCTTTTTTTTTTCTCCCACTCTGTTTACATTTGATCACTGCTGCACTTTAAAAAATGGAGGTGTCATGAGAGCTGAAACAAAATGAAGTTTTGTTTTGTGTACACTCTGTGTATAAGAAATTACAATAAAAATTGTCTAAGTCTAAATGAGAGGTTGCCTTCTACTTAGCTATGAACCACCCCAGTGCATCAAGGAGGTCTTGGCAGGAGGAAGCCATCAGAACAGCACCATCTTCAAAAGCAGCAACGAAATCCATTGCTCCTCAAACCACCCCTCCGACCCTGGGCAGCAACTAGAAATCCTGTCCATAAAGCTTATTAAAAGGACCAGTGACAGAGGGCAGCTATTTCAGAATGCATCATGCTAAATGCCCCTGACCTCTAGCAATGTTGAAGAACAGTATCAGCCATGGCAGCCGGAGAACATCCAGTGATTTAAAGCACTCATTGCAGATCTTATCCACACCTGAAGTATTTAAACTGTATTCCTTTTATCATCCCATGATGCCATAATCTCTGCTACCATTAAAACCTTTGCTAAAAAGCACAGATTCCTCTTCAGGTGCTGGACAATTTGCCAGAATCAATGATATATAGTCTTTTTCTGTGGCCTTCACAAACTTCTCTGTAGCCCAAATCTTTGCCTCTGTGATCCCTCAGGCAGTGGCCAAATTGGCCACACAATGTCTGCTTGCTGTCTCAGGAGTCCCACAAGCCAACCAGGCCCAACTGGACTCCTTTATCAGCTCGACAGGATACCAACAATAGAGGCAGAGTGTATGGTCCACTCAGACCTCATACCCCCAGACTCCACTAGAATTTTAGAAAAGTTCTCCAAGAAATGGGATATTATCGATGACCGAGGCCTCCGCTAGATGTTCCCAACAGGCCCTCCCTACTTGCCTGAGCCCGCCTTGTTTGTCCAACTTCCTCCTTTCACAGTCCAGCTTACTACCAGGTGGTGATCAGTAGACAGCTCCACCCTTTTTTTCACCCAAGTCTCTCTTCACCATGCGTCAAAGGTCAGAAGATAAGCCTAAAATTCGATCATTAACCTCCGGCCTACAGTAGAAAGTCCTGGTGCCAAGTGCCCTGTTGGACATCCTTAGCCTTGAAGATGGTGTTCGTTATGGCCAGCCCATGACTTGAAAAGAAGTCCAATAATACAAGACCACCGGGTTCAGAGCAAGGGGTCATTTCCTACAAATCACTCCCCTTCAGGTGTCACTGTTATTTCCCACCTGGGTGTTGAACTTCTCCAGCAGAATGATGGAATCCTCGGAAGGGGCGCTATCTATTACCCCACGAGACATACTAATCTGGCCTGGTAGCACATACTGCCATTTGGCCTTTAGGCTGAAACAACAGTTAGAAAACTCCCCCCTATAGGCGGAGGGGAGGGATGTGACCCTCTCATTCACATGGGGCAAACTCCAAGATGAGACAGCTCCACCCTCTACCTTTCCCAGTGGGCCAACAACCCCAACTGCAGGCTTGGCTCCAGGTTAAGACTAGACATCATGTGTCTTAATTTTATATTCTTCACAAGGGCTTCTTAAACAACTCTTTGTCTGACCTGTTACCCAAAGCCTTTTTTGCCTTGGGAGATTCTACCTGAGGCATTTAAGTTCACCCGGGCACCTAAACCCCTCAATGACACAAAAGGTGGTAGTTTTAAGGAAGGGAATTTAATGATTTATGTTTTGAAGATTAGGCAAACCAAATTAGCAAAACAAAGAATATTGCAAAAAATATGGCGGCATGTTTATGTAAAATGTCATACATTTGTATAATGATTAATTTAAATAACAGCAGAGTAATTAACAGTTAATAATACAGCTCCAAATGTCTTAGTTTTTGTTTTAATTGTCATTACATTGTCACAAATATGAGAGCAACGAAAGGTGCTCTCTGTATTTAACCCATCCCCTTGGGGAGCAGTGGGCTGCCATTGCGCGGCGCCTGGGGAGCAGTGTGGGGTTAAGGGTCTTTATAATCAAATAAAATGGCATCTGTTTTGGAAAAAAAATATCCATCTTCCCTATTTCACATTTGTCTCTGAAATGTCAAAAGTAATTTGAAGGAGCTATTCATTGTATCTATTAAGTGGTTTCTGTAACCCAAATCTGTTGTGTTTTGTTTTGATCTCATCCCAATTGTATCATCTAACAGGTCAGAGCCTAAAACTCCATCATGTCAGCACGGATGAAACGAATATATGACCACCAATATCACCACAAAGAGAGCCAATATGTGGTTAAAGAATACAGCAGGTACACCTGACACTGCCTAAAACTTAAGTGAAGTCTGAACACTGCTTTTTAATTAGAACATTGTTATGATTAAAACTTTAGCATTTTGACTTGACCTTAACAAAGCAAATATAACTTAACTAATTAAGTTATATTTGGTGCTGTTCTGTCTAAGGGTAGAAAGATATATACAAGTGTTTTGATATCAGAGAGGCCCTGTGCATGTTTTTATCAAGAAAGAAAAGAAAGAAAGAAAAATAACATTGAGAAAGAAAGAAAGACAATTGAGTTTAAGTTTTGTTCCATATCATATGCCATATTAATGACCTCAGAATTATGTAAGTAGACCTGACATACTGTGTGCCCACAGCTCCAAGACCACAGAAGAAAGATATGAGCACAAAAAACAAGCTCGCATACAGGAAGTGGTAAGATTTAATGAATCATTTTCATATCCTATAAACACAGACGGGAAACTGACTAAAAAACTGCTTATTCTTAATTATTAACACTGTTTCACAACATTCATGTCAGTGCATAAATAGGATAGAAATTCAGTAATGAGAAAGGGGTTAGCAGAGGGTTCCTTGCCCGTATATTTATTTATCCTATTTTTCCTGTTTAGGTAAAGACAAAGTTGGGGGATAAATATGTGCGTGAGGAGCCTATGATCAGGGGGCCACAGTTCCTCGTCAGACTGAGATCCCACACCGTGTTTGAGAACACTCCTGTTAAACTCGTCTGTACTGTTGATGGCTTCCCCATGCCAGTTGTGAAATGGTGAGAAATTAAGAGTCAATCGATGTCATCACACTTTAATCATTAAACAACATTGTGTCTGTCATTGAATAATGTAATTACATTTGCAGTGTTCTAAAGCTTTACATGAAAATATTAACCACAAAATATTACAATTGCCCTCTGTAGCCTACAGCAGCTTTCATTTTATCTCCACTTTAGGTATAAAGAGGGTGTGATCTTGGATTTGTCCTCAGGAAGGTACCTGGTTGAGGCAAAAGGCGGTACTCACTCTCTGATGATCCCAAGGTACTGTACAGAAAGTTCAACAAAACAGCTGCCTGTATCATATAGGTTTGGTCATCGATTCTAGTGTTTGCTTAGGTTTTATGGCAGAAAACATCCGGCTTAGTCACAAATTCAATTCTTTTTTTTGTACAATTATTTTTAATCTATTCTGCATTTTTTATATGTTCCACAGTTCTGCTGATTTTGTCATTTCTATTTTCCAAGTGTCATATGCTTTCAAATGAAAAATAGAAAAAAAAGGAAGTTACTGGACAAAAGCTGTTTGATGTATGACTAATATCCATTGTTTCAATTAAATTAGTCTTAAATGACTGGATAGAGAAGTTTCCACTGTTGGTTCTAAACTTGTTCTACTCCTGAACTCCTGAGCTTTCTTTACGTGAATTTCCATTGAGGGGTGTAAAAGCCAGGCTGTTTCTGTAAATCATGACCCCTGATTCAGAGTGAGTCGGAGGCAGAGTCCCACTGGTGTCTGGAAATTCAGTTCTCTACTCACCACAGCAGGGTGGTCCAGAATGCAATAAAACGAAAATCAGTAGTTAATTCAATGGTTCTTCTCGGATGCTGCGGAAATGGTTAGTTTAGATCTTCTTTATCGAATCGGTTATAAGAAAACAAAAAGAAATTTGATTTCATTTTATAATACAAGAATTGAATTTAAAAGCATTTCTCTTTTGGAGCGTCAAAAAAAGTTGAATAAGCATTTGAAAAAAGATTTGATTTTTATTTCATATTTCAAATAACAAAAATAAAATCAGTTTATTACAGTAACTGAAAAGCGACAGTTTTGTTATATCCCAAGATCCAACATGGTTACTGACAAGTAACCACATCTGTTATGGCAAGAACGGCAAATTTGATAAGATTGTGTGTTACTTTAGTCCATAATAAAAAGCCTATGGAAGCAACAAATTAAATACACATTTAAGATAGAGACTGAATAAGGGCAATTTGTCAAATCTGACCCTTGCTCTTTCAGCCAAATACAGGGTGAAGAAAAACAATCCCAGTATATCATCTTTATAAAAACAGAAAGAAAGAAACTTGGTATACTATGTGTGGCAAAGTATTTGCATTGCTGTGATTAAATTCTAACTTTAACCCAACAACAAATGGCTTTCTGCACCTGTTTGATCAGGGTGGGGAGCTAAATATTTGACTTGTGACTAAAACAACCTCAGTTTGTATTTCTTAAGAAGAAATACAAATAGGGCCAAAAAAAATAATTCAAAATTCACCCCAAAGACGCATGAAAGACAACTCAACTAATTAGTAGCTGTGGGATCATAATATATGATTTTAATTGTCATTGCTATCATAGATAAAGGGCATGTAAAGATATTTTAAGTAATGAAATAAAAGAAAAGATGTACCATCAACAAATTCATTACATAATGACAGATTTAGAAAGAAGAAACTTGCATTTGTTAAATGATATTTTTCATAAAGTTTTGAAACCAGTACCAATAACGGATATGTATCAGGATAGTGTGTTTTTCCAGTGACAAACTGAGCTGCTTATTTTACACCTTCAGTCTGTGATGCTGTGTCTCTGTCTGGGGCATTTCTCATAAAAAAAATAAATAAATAAAAAAAACAATTTTTTTTTCTTGATTCAGTGAAATAACTAGGAATGTGCAGAATGAGTTGAAGTTGTAAGTTATTAAGAATAGAGATAGAAAATAATGTTGTCACACAAGTTGCCGTAAAAAAATGAAGGTGCAGTAAAACTTTTTTTTTTTTAAACTTTTTTTTTTTAAATATAATTAAAATAAGAGGTTAAAATGACTATTTAACATAGGGCTAGATTGTTTAAATACATTTGTTTACTTCAAATGAACGAAATCATCCTTTCCTAGTTTGTTTGCTTGACATTATTAAAGATCTGAAAAACTTATATTATCATATCATGTGAAAATAAATCGAAACAAACAAAGCTGTGAACTTGAAAATACTTAGCCAGAAATACCTGATACTGCTGTAAAATTTATGAATTTGTACAAAACACTGGCTGGAAGTAGTGCTGGAAAAAAGAGACATTTAAAACCTTGCATGATCCCACCAGGAACTTTTGAGGGATTTTTATTTTTTTTTTTGCCTCAGTTCCCTTTTCTTTTTTCCACAGATGTTTATTATTTTCTCTCATACTTCAAATGTTTTTGGAAATGCCTTGTTTCTCTAATATATGACCATTGATTTCAATCACCTATTATTACAGAAACCTCTGTTATCCTTGACAATTCCTAAACAGCATGAAATTGGAGGTTGGAAACAGCTGAGCGTTTGGCTGCAGACAGAGTGGAGCAGAGCTCGTTCTCACAGCCTGGAAGCTCAGCTGTTCAACTGCTGACCACGGTGCTATGTGACACTCCAGGATTCTTTAGGTCATCGCTTTCTGAATAGATCCCATTCCCCCTGAGAATGATAAGATCTAATAAGATTGAGGAAGAATGAAGCGGTTTTTTTTGTAATGTACAAATTTAGGAAAAACCTTAGTTGTTGTAAAGACTTGACAGTGTCAGAGTTTTAAAATATCTCACTCATAAATTATGGCCACTGGTATGAAAGTAGAAGCAGAAAGTAGAACCAGAAAAATAAGGGATATCATACATTGGTTTCACAAAATGGAGTAATGGCTACTCTGCAACACAGCTTTCCCTTTGTTGAAATCATCTAAATCAGGCCTTTATTTCTGACATTTTACTTATAAAGACCCTTATTTTGCGTGCTTCAAAGGCTTAGTTTAGGCAGTCTAGTTGTCTAAACTAAACCGTTCAAGCGTCACCATGACCTGGATGACTGAGATTGCTTGTTTTTCTGTCTCCAAAACAATGGTTTAAAAAGCATTATCTTACCTTTATATTAATGTTGGTCAGATCAAATCCTTGGTCTTTTGTGAGGAGTCTTTTTCAACATTTTAATAAATCTGCAAAACATACTATTTTTGGACAACCATCCCCACAAATTTGTTTTGTTGTGGGTTTTCCCCGTCCCTGTTTTATTGTAGCTAGGTCAAACTGCTTAAACTTATGTGGCTATGTTAAGGTTTATTTATGGTTGTAAAATACTTACTTACTACCTTGATATATTAAATCATAAGAGCTGACTGAATGTACATTTTCATGTAGAAGTGCAGTAAAATGTGCAATATTATGACCCATGTCTGACTTGGACACAGTTGAAAATGATGAAAATTGTGTAAGATCGAAATAGCATGTACCTTTGTTAAAGACAAAATACCAAGCATTGTTACTTCATATGTCTTTGTTAATAGTGTTATGCTTGGTTTCCACAGTGACTGTTCAGCAGCATCAACTTCTGTGTAGTTTTAAATCTTTATTCAATAACTTTTTTTTTTTTTTTTGTGGGTGTTCTTAAGTCTTTAAGATGCACATAGTGCCAATGCATCATGAGTTCCTAATAAGATGTAAAAAAAAAACAACATTTGGAAATTCGCAGAACTTTATTAAGAGAATCTTAAGAGGTGTATGGATTTCTTTTATAGATGCACAACTGAAGATACAGCCCAGTTCACTGCTGTAGCTGGTAACATCCATGGACAGGCTTCTACCCAAGCATCCATCATTGTCAAAAGTAAGCTTTTAAGGAGATGGGATGCTTGTGTTAAGGAAATGCACGTAGTGATTACAGGAGAACATATGTGAAATTTGCAATAAGCAGCCACCATCCCTGTTGCTGATGACAATCTATATGCATGATGATTGTTTTTTTTTCACTCAGTTTAATTCGATTTATTTATATAGCACAAATTCACAACACATATACTGTATATCAAGCACTTTACAGACACAAATCAATATAATACGGTTTGCAATGCGTGACTGACCATGCAGGCTTTGCTCTTCCTGGATGAAAATTTTGTAAGGGCATATAAACTTTCACTTGCATAATGTTAACTACAGCAATCCTTTACACTGAGCACACATGCACTAACAATAAAGAGGAAAAACTCCCTATTAACAGGATGGAACCGTTAACAAAACCAGACTAAGTGGAAATGGTAGTCAGGAAGACAGAAGCAGTCATACACACAAAAAAACCTAGAAGCACAGATTCCTAAATAGTTTCAATTTTAGAAAAATTGCTCCATATGTGGCTCATTCTAGGAAATAAATAGCTATTCCTAGGAGAGAAATAGCCCAAGTAGTGAGAAACAGGCCCTTTAATCTATGATGGTAGTCATTGATGGCAGCAGCTAAGCTGATGCCTCCTCTAGGATGGTGTCACAGAGCTCCAGAGAAATGAGAAAACGAACAAAACAAAAACAGGGAGAACACAAAGAGAGAAGCCTGATATATAAAATATCTGCCTCCCACTGATTTTTAATAATACTGACCATTTTTGTGGACGTTTATGCTCAGTCATTTGGACGTATACAGTTGCATGTGTGCTTTCAGTTCCAACCTTTTCACACAGTGTCTTAGTCTTCCATCTTATTATTTTATTTTTGTAGGATATAAGGAAGACGATGAGTCCAGTCCATATGCATGGCTACCTTTTACTGGTAGGTACAAAAAGCTTAGGTTCTGTCTAATTGCTTTCACCATGATGATTAAAAAACAATATATATATATTTTAAAATGTTTACAGCAATGATACGTATAGAGATAATATTTTAGTGTCTAAACAATTCAAACAGAAACAAGCTGATTTAAAAGGTTCTTCTTTATCATATCATTCATGTTTTGCTTTTTTAACCTCCTCTCAGCTGCTATGATTCCCAAGATCCATTACACTAAAATCCACATAACTTTTGTGGAGAAGTTTGGCCCGGTGTTTGCCACTGAGGGGGAATCAGCCACTCTGTCTGCCAAGATGACCCTGGAGCCCAACCTGGCCAACCTACAGCCTGAGGCACAGTGGTATAGAGATGGTAATTCTAAGGATGCTGCATTTTATTACAAATTAGGTGCTAAATGTAATACCTTTTACTATATATTTACATGAACCAATCTACATGCAGTAATGGAAAGCAAAAATGAACATGACAATTTTTTCTTAACTAAAGTATCGACCTACAGCCATGAAAGGCTTAATAAAACATGCATATATAAAAGGTTACAGAAATAATAGGTTCATGCACACAATTATATTTACAAATTCTACATTCAAAACAGAATTTTGGATTAACATTAGAATTTATATTTCTTTTAGACATTCGTCTGTTTGACTCCAAATGGGTGAAGATTGAAACAGGCAGAGGATACACAACCTTAACTCTACCAAACCTCTTCAAAGATGATGAAGGCCTTTACACACTTCGGATGGTCACTAAGGGAGGCACTGCAGAACATAGCGCCTTTGTCTCAGTCGCTGGTAAGTTGGTCGATCAGAAACACAAAGAGATTATATTATTGCATATAGTCAAGGATTAATATGTTTAATTTTTTTCTAAACAGCTGTATACATTCCAATATATTATGTAATATTTTTACAATTACAGGCTTATTAAAACAAATAAATCTTTCTGAACACATTTTATCCCACACTTCATTCTAACAAGATCTCTCCTGCTTATTTGTTCATTTAGATGGTCCTCCTCCTGTTGCAAGTGCACCTGGGGCTCCAATGGACATCAAAATCCATGATGCCAACAGAGATTATGTCATTGTGTCCTGGAAACCTCCAAATACAACTACAGAGGGTCCAATCATTGGATACTTTGTGGACAAGTAGGAAGTTTGGTGTATATGTTATAAGCAAATAACTTGTTTAAAAAAAATTATTACAATCTGACTGACTATGGTGACTAATGTATTTCATTAAATCTGATGTACCTTTTTTAAATCCCTCTCCTTTCCTCTATCATTTTTGCATTCATAGATGTGAGGTTGGAACTGAAAACTGGACGCAGTGCAATGATCACCCCATCAAGATCTGCAAATACCCAGTTTCTGGTCTGTTTGAGGGGCACTCCTACTACTTCAGAGTCCGAGCTGTAAACTCCCGTGGTATCAGCAAACCCTCCCGCATGTCTGATCCTATTGCTGCCTTGGACCCAACTGAGTTTGAAAGGTTACATGGTGGGTGTTTCTGCAAAGAAAAAAAAATCCATTCACTGTGTAGCTCTTAAGGACTCAGAAATTGGTTTTATAGTTGTGTTAAGGAAGATTAAGTCAGAAATCTGTTTTCTATACTACTTTAGCTAATTTATACGCTTTTTAGCACATCAAATTAATATGCAACTATTGAAGGTAAAAAAAGTTATTTTTTATTTCCTAAGGCTTTTATAAAATATTCTGTTTTTCTGTACCTGAAAGTTTATACTAATGATTAAGTAGTTTACCCTGTTTAAATGTGAAACTTCATAGGAAAAAATTTGTACTCTCACAACTGATTTGAATTTTTATGACAATGTTTATTTTCAGCTAAAAAGCTTGGAGGAAAACTGGATATTGTGTCTTACCATGATGAAGAGGAAGGTAAGAAATTCAAAATGTAGATATACTTTACTTTTTCTAATACTTGTTTAATATTTACACCCATGTTTTGTGTTTCTTCAAAGCTGAGGGAAAGCCCCCCGGTGCTCCGTCTGCAGTAAATGCTTCAGAAATCGACAGAACATATGTGGTTTTGAGCTGGAAGGCCCCAGCATATACCAGCAAGGCTCCCATGTGGTACTACATTGAAAAGGTTACACTAAATTTCATACTTCCAATAGTTACTTAAGTGATACTTAAGTTCAGAAAAAAATATTGATATGCTGTCCTTACAGTTTAGGCAAACCGTTTAATCCAGCTGCATTTATTGTGTCGAAAGGTATTATGTCTATAAACAGAGAGATACTTGAACCTTCCTCTTTTGCATAAGTGATTTTCAAATCAAGGAACACTAACTTTTAGAATGCAAAGATTGCATTTTTTTAAAGGCAATCATGATAATCATGACGCAAAATCTTTATCTGCTTTTGGAAACATCGACTTTTTGGGTTTTCACAGGCCATGGCTAACACCGAAACATGGCAGCGTGTCAATACTAAAGTGCCTATCAGATCTCCCCGTTATGCTGTCTTTGACCTGGCAGAAGGCAAACAATATCAATTCAGAGTATTGTCTGCAAACATGTATGGAACCAGCGAGCCATCTAAGCCAACCCCTGTTATTGAAACTCTGGAACTTAAAGGTTTGTCTCAATTATTATCTACAGTATTTAAGTATAAAAAGTAAATATTAACTTTGTTAAAAAAACTACTTTGGCTATATTCTTTTGTTTGCTTTTATTCTTAAGGTGTCCCATCGGCTCCTGGTCAGGTGATTGCAACAAGGGAAACAGATACCTCTGTCCTTATCCAATGGGCTCCTCCAAAGGAACCCAACAATCTTATTGGCTATTATATTGACCAGTGTGTACAAGGATCCAAAGACTGGACTTCAGCCAATCACAAACCTCATAAGGACACCAAGTATGTTTTAAGACAACTGCAAAAACACTTTGCAGTGAAAAGCCATTATATATGTGTCATGAATGTAAACATGTAAGGCTATAGGACCTGACTGGCAGCCAGTTGTAGATTTGCTTTGCTACCTGCAAAGAAATCGGAGACAGATCCTGAAAAATAGTAAAGAAAAAACGATTTAGAAAGTAAATAGATTGAATAATTTTGGGAATAATAGAAATAAAGAAAGTTTTGTGTTTGTTTTTTCAGATTTGTGGTTAGTGGCCTGAAAACTGGAGAAACGTACGTGTTCCGTGTTCAGGCGATCAATGAGCTGGGTCTCAGTGATGAATCCCAGGAATCAGCACCTCTGACTGTCAGAGCTGCACTTAGTCAGTAAAGCTACATTCATGGACAATACTAAAGATGAAATTATAAGCATTATCTCATGATTAGGAATGCCATTTGGATAAAGTTAAAAACTATAACCAATCTTTGCAAATGCTTTCTTTAGCAACCCCGTCTGCCCCTTATGACGTTGCTCTGCTTAATTGTGATGGGCGTTCCATGGTTCTGAACTGGAAGAAGCCTCTCCATTCTGGAGGTGCAAAGATCAAGGAGTATTATGTGGATAAAAGACGCAGTGGAACCAGCATTTGGAGGGAGGTTCATATCCCACCAGTCACAGAGAGAGTTTATAAGGTACAGCCACATCTATCTATACTTGATTTTGCTAAACTAGTAACCCTTAGCAAAAAGAAGTATACTTGAAATAAATTCTATTAAGAATACTTAAGTATAAGTATGAGTTTAAAAAGTATGCCGAACAATGTACTTTTAGTGTACTTGAAGTATTACTAAAGTAATACTTCTTCGAACTAAATTGGGACATTTTTAAGTTTACTAAAGTATACTTAAAGTATACTTTAGTAAACAATACAGTAAACAATAGTTATTGTTAAGTATATGAAATATAGTTTAGAATAAGTAAACTCTAAGTGCACTGCCTGATTTTAAGTAGTGCACTTTTAGTATACTTGAATAAACTACTTTTTGCTAAGGGAAAGTTAGCTGAATGTTTTGCTTCATCTTGTAACTACAATATAAAATCGAAAAACATACGTTTTCTGGGGTTTACAAATTTTTCAGCGTGGAAGGCAACAAAAAACCTGTTGTCTTCTATAAAAACACTAAAATTATTTCCTAATGATTTTTTTCCCTGCTCAAGAAAAGTAAGAGTATTTTAGTGAAATATTACTTTAGATGTTAATGATAAATCTTAAACATACAAAAGGTTTAAAACCACATCAAACAGTCACATACTTGTGTATTTGACTCATGTGAACCAGGAAAGCTTAATGTTTGCTGTACTGAAATGAAATATCGCTTGTTTTTTCTAAAGTAATAAAATATTTTACTTTCAGGTGGAGGGCTTGACTGAGGGAGCAGTCTACCAATTCCATGTCTATGCAGCCAACCTGGCTGGTCTTGGACCAGCTTCCAAACATTCAGATGACTTCAAGTGTGAGGCCTGGACTATGCCAGAGCCCGGTCAGTAAATCCCACATTCCATCTAACATAGAATTCCAGATAAATCATGCAAAGGATGATTTAGTAATTATTCTGGTTGTTAAATGTGTTTTTATATGTCGTATAGGTCCAGCATATGACCTGTCATTCTGCGAAGTGAGAGATAGTTCATTGGTAGTGGAATGGCAAAAGCCTATCTATACCGGTTCTGATCCAATCACAGGCTATCATGTTGAATATTCAAAGAAGGGAACCTCTGATTGGAAAACATTTAATGAGAAAGCTGTCAGTCACCGCTTCCTTAAGGTAAAGGGATTTGTAAATCCATGTAGTTCTTGTTTTTTTTTTTTTTTTTGCCTTTGCCTTAAATTGATTTACATTTCAAACAGTGCATTGAAATCTGTTTGTAGTGATGCAAAACAAAAAAAAAAAAACTGTGTAACACTGACATCTAGTGGAAGTAGTATGACTAGCAGATCTAAAGATGATATTTGATGTTGCAGTTTAAAGAGAGTTGCTAAAATTTACATAGATACAGGATTAAGAGATGGTGATATGTCCATAATTACACGGATTTGTTTTATAGACCTCATTTAATAATGAATTTAGCTAAAAATGAGAAGGTAATAAGCATGCTTGGTGAAGTTATAATTGAAAAGTTCTAAGTGTAAGCAAAGTACGTCTTATGCTTGTTCAATTTTTCAAAATTAAGTCACAACATGAAAACAAAAAAAAATAATACTGGAAGTGATACATCTGTCTTAAGCGAAAACATGTTTCTGGCAATCAATAAAAAATTGGTACAAAAAAGCAATAATAATATTTCCTTGCTCAGTTTTAAATTAGCTTCCTTTATTTACACTTAGTACAATAAATTTCTATTTGCTTGTGAATTATCACACAATATATTATTTTATTAGTTTTAATTAAATCCCTCTGAAATATGGTATTTCATGATGTATATCCGTTTGTTGTTCTGTCCCTCTTTCAGCAATGCTTTTTGTTCTAATTATTGATCTTTTTTTAGGTAACAGGTCTGGAACTTGGGACTTGCTATGTTTTTAGAGTTCGTGCAGTTAATGCTGCAGGAGTGGGTATGGCCTCAATGCCTTCTGATCCTGTGATTGCCAAGGCTGTAGAAGGTAACCAAGCAAGAGTAATAAAACTAGGAAATGAAGAATATGCTTTAACTGCAAGTTTTAACAAATGCAAAGTTTTTAAGCAGCACACGGTAAAAATAAAATGACAGTTGTTTCCTCTTTGCTTGTATTTGGATCAAAGACTTCATGACAGATAACCTTAGTGAACCCTATAGTCAAATAACAATTCAGCACTATTGAAGGAGGAATTTATTAAGATAACAATTATCAGCATAAACAAAAAAAGAGCAATCTAAACATCTGATGTTCTGCTATAGGTGACAAATGAGCTGGACTCATTTGGCCGTAATATCTGGCTAGTAGCTTTAAGCAGAGCAAAATCTCTAAAACACAGATTCTGGCAAGCTTCCAGTGACATTTTAATAAAAAAAAAAATCTAATTTCATCCATTTATCAAAGGTTGCCAGGAAGTCTCCTGCACAGTGGATGAGAAATCGGGTGACATTGTTCTGTCCTTTGAATCCTGCCAAATGAATGAGGGCTCTCAGTTTGTCTGGAAAAAGAACTACAAAGAAATCACTGATTTCTCCAAAGGAGTGGTGATAAAAACTGAAGGCAACCAGTAAGAACACCTGGCCACTCAAGCACAAATTAAATAATTTAATATCTGCTGTGTTTACAGTGTTTGTTCAGCAGCATGAGTGTCTGTCTCTTTCCCTCCTTCTATTATAGATCTAAGCTGATCTTTAAGAACCCCGATAAGGAAGATGCTGGAACGTACTCTGTCTCTGTAACAGGCACAGATGGAGTTTCATCAAGTTACGCAATCTCAGCCGAAGGTACTGATTTAATCATTGCGCCCAGAGTTTTTGTGCTTAGATGAAAGACTTATTTCCATTAAAAAAAATGTTTCTTTTTATTAGAGAGAGAATAAGCAGATTTGTTGTTGTTTTATATTTAGTTATGCTAATGGTTTTGCATTTTTGTTTCTTATTTTATGATTAAGATCAAAGCTACTCTTCCTCATTCATGAAACATTGCCTTAAGCCAAACCTTTGCATTAATATATCAGAATCTTTACAGTTTGAAAAAGTGAGTATTACGTTCAGACAAATAATCATAGACTAAAACTATAGACTGGAATATATAAAAAAAAAAAGAAAAAAAATCAAAGGAAGTGCATATCGAAGAACTGAGGAACTGTGTAGCTAAGATGAAAGCAACGAGAGTGTACTTAGAGATGATTCCACTGGCATGTTGGCAATGAAAAATTTCATTACTCCTCTGATGAATACCATCAGAGCACATTTCTCACATTATTTCTCTGAGCCTTAGGCAGCATGTGCGTTATATCACCATGTCTTTTGCTGCAAAAGACTTTCTGTCAAAAGTTTTGCTGTATTTTCCCCTCTGTTGCACCACTATCCCACTCGGCTATAATGTGTTATTCAGTGCGCCTTTCACTGATTCTCTCTCATTTTGCCCTCGGATATTTCATCGTAAGCGGAATACAGTTTTGATCTCCTTGTACACAAAATGTTATAAGCAGCGATGAGTCAACCACTCAGTGTCTCCTAATGTGTCAGATGTTCGTTGTTAATTGAATTTGATTGCTTGTTTGTTTACAAGCATAAAATTAACAAGCTGCGTTTGTTTTTCAGAGTTGGAAAAAATGCTGGCGCTCAGTTACGACATCAGACACCCAAGTATGTATCTCCCATAATATCTTTTTGTCTCTTTTAATGTATCTTTTGAGCGGCATCTTCTTTACTGCATCATAATCTGCTTCATCAAATTAATCCATTTCTCTTTTTTTGCTTTTATATTTGCTCTCTTCCCACTGCTTTGAACCTTTTTAATTTTTTTTATTATTTTAGCGGCACATTTCTCATTTTATTTGATCCATAAAAAAAATAAATAAAACTCTTACCTGCTTTTGCATCACCTGCCTGACTATGTCCTCTCCTTTTATTCTCCTTTCCTTTTCTATCCACTCCTTTCCTCAAGTCATCCCACTGAAGTCTGAGTTGGCCTATAAGATTTTGGAGAGAGGTAGAATGAGATTTTGGCTGCAGGCTGAAGAGATTTCCTCCAAAGTCACCTACAAATTCTTTGCAAATAACAAGGAACTATCAGGAGCTGATGTAAGAGACACTCGGCTTTTTCAAAAGGAAAAGCATGGAAAAGATGGACTGTCTGAACTGTTTATGTGTCTCTAGTGTTGATTGGTTGCAAAAAAAAAAATTGAAACACAGATAGATAGATAGATAGATAGATAGATAGATAGATAGATAGATAGATAGATAGATAGATAGATAGATAGATAGA